AAATTTCTGTATCGACATTGTTAGATTTTCTTTATTATTGTTGTTATTCAGTAAATGTTAGTCTTACCTAGTCCCTAAGACTAGGTGCCATCAAATACCTAACGGAGGGAAATTTTGGTGACACAATGCCAGAATCTGCACAAGAATGTGTAGAAGTATAGTATGAGTACAATCGATCCAATGTACTTAGTAAGTATTAAGTCTGACCTGAAAGAAGTGGTGACAAGACTCTGACCAACGTGATACTTACTTCCATAATCAGATAATCAACAAGTATAAATGAAGAGAAGGAACAGTTCTAAAGCAGTGAATATCAGTAATATAAGTCACAGTCAAGTAGATTACATGCATGTTTCACAGATATAATACTCAAAACTAAATCCTTTCCCCGAGTCCATATAAGATAATGATGTTAATGAAATAACAGGTAAATGAATTCTCCTACGTGAATGCATGATGTATAATCTATACACACATTCATCACACCTTGTGTGCCTGGCAAGAAGCGTCTGTTATAATCATACACAATCGATACTTTATAGGTGCCTCACATAAATTTCCTCACTAAGCACAAATGCATGTGCCTGACACTCATAAGGCCCAAGGTAAAATGGGTAATTACCTGACTCCAGAGGTATGGATCCATATCCAAGTGTCAATGTAATAAGAAAAAAAATAGTATCCTCAATTTGCTCATATATCTCAATGTGCAAACTATCTCACAGTACTATAACTATATCAATTAGCATGAAAAAGTACCATCCCGCCCTAACTTTGCTTGTGTAATAAATGTATGGTGCACAAAGATAGAAATAAAATATGCGTATGTATGTGCATGATAATGAAGTATGACTACGATTAAAGAAAACAACTCAACGCATCAAAAATACGGCATCATTTCCAATTAAGGAACCATAAGCCTAGACATGATTTCTAAATAAAGGCCGGTCACAATCATGTAAACATGTGTCATGAAGGATGCATAATCAAATAAGGCATAAAGAAGCCTCAAACTACTCCACACATGATATAATCCTTGGTTCGTATATATATGCTCGTTACCTTGCATATACACCAACCCAACTCAAGTAACACATAGCAATCAAGTCCATTTTAGGTGAATTCCCTCCTAGCAAGGAGAGCCAAGATACTTACCTCCTTTTGGAACTGCTTCAACCTTCCACAACCATCTTTTGTTTAGAATCACCTCCAACTGGTTTCAATATAGCCAAATAATACTCAATAAGGTCAAATAAATCATAAAAATCAATTTCAAATAATAAAACTTCAAGCTTTAATCGCTTCTCAAAAAGTTAACAAAAGTCAACTCGGACCCGCATGATCAAAACCTAAGTCTAGGACTAGAGCTTGTTGACACATAACCTCAAGAGTCCAAATATGTATCTTGGTTCTAAATTCCATTCCAAATCGGTATTCAAAACCTAAAATATACTCTCTTAAGTTGTAGATAAAAATCCTAAATTTTACTTTAAAAATTCTATATTTTAGGTGCAGAAATTCATGAGAAATCAAGATATACGAATAAAATAAAGTAGAAATTACTTACCCTCAAGAGTGTAGTGAAATCCCTCTTCAAAATCTCATCCTCGCATTCTCCAAAACTCAAAAATATGAAAAATGGGTAAATTCGGGAATTCTAGATTTAAAATGCCCATGCCAACGAAATGTTCTCCACAATCGCGGTCACTACCCACATAATCGTGACTCGCTGCTAGCCAACCTTTGTGATAGTGGTCCAACCACACTCGATCACGATGCACAAGCCATCCAGACCAGACTTATGTCACGACCCAAAATACCACTTTAAGGATCGTGATGGCAAAAAGTCCCTAGGACTAGGTAAGCTTAACACATGCTGAATTATTAACAAATTTAAACTATTTAAATATTAAACATATACCGGTAAATGATATACATAGCTAAAAACGATCAATAGTTATACATTTTTTCAAAATCGGTAGTACAGAGTCATAAGATCTACCGAGTACACTAAAATCTCTAGATACAATACTATTCTGGAATGAAAATAAATAGTAGTAATGGAAGACAACAGAAGGTGACTCCGAGGCCTACGAACGCACTAGCACGTATACCTTCAAGTCTCTGCGGCAAATCACAAGCAGCTAACTAACGTCAAACATGTTTTTTGGTACCTGGATCTACATAAAATTACGCAAAAGTATAGTATGAGTACACCATAGTGGTACCCAGTAAGTATCAAGACTAACCTCGATGGATTAGTGATGAAGTCCAAGTCAAGACACCTGCCAGACAAATAACCCGTGCAGAATATTAACATAAAGCTAACGACGGAAAAGTAAAATAAATAAATGGCAACAAAGGGTAATCATGTGTGTTTACCATGAAAATGGTAATAACAATTAAATTTATTGATGGGACTCTAAAAGTACGTGACCTATTTTTATGCTAGTTGGTTAAGCAGTTGATGCTAAGTATATGAGATTTAAAGATAACATAGAGTTAAGGAGAGAGCTATAATCAAACCGATAGGCTAGCTACTCAGGGCCTGAGGCTGGTTGATTCCGAGCCTCGAGGTCGATCTCAGGGCTCGTCTACGAGCTATTGAGGGCAATCAGGGTAGGGATAATAGTTATGGGATAATCGGGAGAGGCTCTTTTTGGCCAATGATAAGCAATAAATGAAGAATAAGTATGAAGACGATAAATGAGAGCAATGATATCAAGAGAGTATGTTAGAGGGAAAAGAGAAAGTTCTTGTATATTTCTTATGGAGCAGTTGGAGCAACAGAGTCTCATAAAATGATTGGGATCCCCTTTATATAGGAAGGGAATTCCAATATAGTACAAAATACATTAATGATAAAGGAGTAGGGATGGGACAGCTCGACATGATGTCCTGTCGCCCTGAGTTGGGTTTAGAATAGTCTGCTAGGCTCTGTCAGTCTTAGCCAAGCGCCTTGGGAATCCCCCTCATCTATAATATAGTCGTTGGTCTGCACTGCCCCGAGGTCGGGCCCCGACGACCCTCGATAGTAAACCTCGACCTCGGTCTCGAACCTTGAGAATCATGTTCGCGGGACATCATAATGACGGGGAAATCGGGCCCCTTGATTTCACCGTACACAAATAGTCTTCATGTTTCTTAGAGTGAAAGTGATAAGAAAAGACCTTGAATTTCTTCCCCCTCTGATACTCTTGCAGCGACATCAGTCAGAGGGTGCCAAGATACGAGGCACACGTAGCCCCTGAAGATTTTCGCATTGACTATGGCAGTTGGCTGTCTCTTGGCCTTCTTCAATGTGCACGCGGGGTTTCTATAAATATTCCCTTTCTTGTTTTCTATAACTCATTGCATTCCCAAACCCTAGGAAAGGTTCGTTCTTCCTTTGCTTTCATTTTCTCTTAGGAACACAACTCTCTTTCTTCTCCCAGAAATTTCTAGAAATGGCAAAAACTTTCGCCTCCGCTTCCCAGGAGGCCGCCTCATCCTCTTCGCTTTTATCTCAAGGTGAAATGACAATGCCCCCTCATGTGGTGGAATGTATTTCAGGATCTTTCGCGATGGCTTCTAATTTCAGGGTCGAGAGACCTTCTTCGAGGTAGGGCACAGCAATCCCATGACTCAGTATATTAGCTCGATAACAGATATCGGAAGAGTGAAAGCTGATTGTCGCTGAGGGGACGCAGTGCTTGTGGAGATCCCTTCTTTGGAGGAGGATATTACGACACACAAAATGGGTTTCCTCAGTATGTACATCTATCCGTTTACTCTAGGGCCGGTGAAGCCATCTTCGCCCCCAATCGACCCCGTGATTCTCGACTTCTGCAAACGATGCCAAGTGACCCTTGTCCAGATTCATCCTTCATTCTGGCGTGTCATTTACATGATCAGGTACTACGTGAACATGATCGGGGAGATGCCCTTCACTCTTGATCATCTAATCTGGATGTACAGCCCCCGTCTCTTCCGTGGGGGTTTAGTCAAACTCCATTGTCGTGCCCCGAGGTCCCTCTTTGTCTGTACCGAGGTGCTCGGAAAGGGGGTATGGATAAGCCGATTTGTCCAAGTTATGACTTCTGACCTGATTTTGGAGGAAAAGATACCGTTCCCCGAGAGGTGGAATGTGGAGCGTGAGTAGACATGCTACCTTGCCTTCCCTCGCTTCCCTCCGGCTATGTTCTTTCAAGCACTTAACATGTATAAAATTTTTTTTGTTACTGCAGCCGCAACAATCTACCCCGGCGCAGTTTCAGACTTCGAAAATTGGGTCGGTCGTCTGTACTCAATTTGCCCGTATGCTGAGCGAGTGTGGAGTGATTTATCCTAGTCCCGGTGGGAAGCCAAGGATCATGGTGAGCCTCTACCCTTACCGTAGTTATCCCTTTCAACATAAATCACTGCAGGCGGTGCTCCCATTCCCTATGCTTGTGAGCATCTAATTTTTGCCCTACATGAAAATAACTCCGAAAAATAGACCAAAATAATTTTAATTAATTTTTTAGGAGTTTTTCTTTTTTTAGTTGCATTTCATGCATTTTTAATATTTTTAGAATCATAACAAAAATTATAAAATTGTCACGTTTTAATTTCATGCCATCTTAGGTTTATTTGCATGTAGGAATAAGTTTTACTAAGCAAAAAATCACAAAAATGGTCATTTTTACATATTTAGATTTTAGTCTTTAAAATTAGCCTTTTTCTTTAGTTTTAAGTCAATTAGTTGTTTAATGTTAGAAATAGATAAAGAATTTTAATTTCTACAAAAATAGATTAATTTTGGATTTAATTAATTTAATTAGAATTTTTAAAATTAAATTAAAGGAAAAGAAAACAAGGAAAGAAAAGGGAGATTAAGCCATTTTGGGTCTAATTTCGGATATGGGCCAATTTGCATGGCCCAATTCCCTCAAAAATACCCAGCCCACCTCTCTAACCTACCCAAATCCCTTACTCTTTAATTAAAACCTAGACTTAGACCTATATAGAGATAAGATTTTTAGACATAAAAAAACCCTTCCTCACCCCTTAAAAGAGGCGCCATTTCCATCAGCTCTAGGCAGCTCCCCCCCTTCTTCTTTCTCTTGATTTTCCTAAAAAAACAAGAGGGGCTCCCCATATCTCCCTCAAAACCAGATCCTTATTTCTTTGGAAAATCGATTTCAGCCAAAAATGGCTGCTTCAAGAAATTCTACTCCCTCCAACTAAAAAAGAAACGCTACTAGCTTTCCCCTTCTCCAAACAAACGGTTGAAACAAAGCTAAGGTTTCAAATGAAGATCTGAAAACACAAAGCTGAAAAAACAAAAGAAGAACTGAGATTTCTAAAAGAAGATTGAAGAAAAATTAATTTTGAAATTCAACTCCTCCTTTTATGGTTTGTACGAGTTGTGGAAGTCGATTTCATGGGTCTGAAATTCTGCTGCTCTACTGCTGATTCACTGCATTGCTGAGCTCCGATTTCTGATGTCGGCCTTTACTCGGCTGTTTTCCCTTTTCTAATTTGAACCTTGTGCAGTTAGGTATGTATTCCTTAAAATGCCTTCAGATCTTGTTTTGGATGTGTAATTCTAGATTTTTTTTAGCCTATTAACTTGTTATTATATGAATATGTGACTATCTCCTAGTTCATTTCTCATGTTGCTATGACATTTGCATTTTGATTTCACATATTCACGTTTTCTGGGTCTGGAACAAAATTTGGAGGGGAGGGAGTCACAAGAGCAGAGAAAAGACAAAAAGCAAAAGCTAAAAAAGTAAAGAGAGGGGGAAAAACAAGAAAAACCTAGATCGGGCAAGGAACAAAAAATGGAAATTAAAGCAAAATTGAGAGAAATATTTTCTTAAAAAACAAGGATGTCGAGGTCGTCCGAGTTCCGCATCCTTTAGCTTCACATATGTTTTCTCTGCTTTTGCGTTGGGTTTTGAGATTTACAATTGTATTGGTTGGTTTATTTGGGATTTCTTCTCTATACATTGGAAAAGTTTCATAACCATATTATACTAAAAGTGGGAAGCCCCCAAGTTAAAAGTTAAATTACTAAAATATCCACAAAAAGTTATCGGACTTTAATACCCTTAGTAAATAAACAAATAATTTCTTTTTATACTCTTTAGTAGTATAATTGTACTTCCAATATAAACAGAAATGTATAAAAGGGTAAACGAACTCATAATAAATAACCTAAATCATGATAAGGGCGTTTTGTCTCTTCTTGTCCTTATTCTGCTCTTGAGAATCATCACCTATTTGAAACTACTACAATAAACAGATCGAGCACTCCCATAATGAATATTAATTGCTTGATAATATTGCAATGTCTTTTCCACTACTCTTAATTAATTAGTATAAGGGAGTAACTGCTTAATGCTCCTTTAGAATTTCAAACTAGATTCACTGAAATGTTTGCTTTATGGGAATGTTCCAGATGGAATAGCAACAGTTATGTTTGATGCACATTGTTATATAAAAAGACAAAACCTACTAAACCTGAAATATCTCAACAATGACAGCGGATATGGGCATGGAGATAAAAGTGGAGACTTTTGATGTGTTTCTATAGTCCCATATAAATCTTGCTATATATCAATTAATCTCTCCACATATTTCTATGAAAGATGGACATGAAGTAGTAAAAATCACTTGAGCCCATAAAAAGAAGTGGCTTTAGTGCTAAGCTGATATACCGCTCAATGATTCAAACAATGATTAGATGGCAAGTCATGCAATTAAAGAAAATACATGTAGATAGCAGAAGCAGTGAACCAACTCTATCACTATTGTGCTAAATTTGGTCTATGTTGAATGACCATCGTCAGATATAATAATTTGCAACATTTTAGATCAATAATCTGATTTTGCATTAATATATCGAATGAATTTGGTCTATATTGAGATATGCATTGCAATTCCTCAAATTCTCACATGACAGAAGTTTGAATTCGAGAATTACCACTTTCTCTCTTCTCTCTCCATTGCTCATAGGTAAAAAAATTAGAGATGAAATTCCCATATATAGATGAAAAAAACAATAGTGTTGATGACTTTTTATGCCTTTTATCCAAACAAGTTAATTTCTATAAGGTATTAGCCTGAAGAGTTGTAGAGGAATTAGGACAAATCTAATTAGGAAATTTTAATGGTGTGCAATATAATTTGAGTTTTTTTTTCATTTGTGTTGTCCAATGTGTATTTAGCTTTTATCATATTATACTACTATTATATCTTTTTTTGATGTCAGTAAAGTGCATAAATGTCACCGTAAATTTGTTACTGTTGACAAAGAATGCAGAAAGCTATCAATTTGATGATTTTACTTTTGCAACATTATAGAGTAGACAAATCGAGTGGTTGTATGCAAGAAGATAAAATCGTGTTTTACTTTTTACACCTGTGAAGTTTAATTTACACTTATGATTAGCAATACTATATTCTCTGATTTTGATAAGGTAGTAGGTTTTGAAATAAAAAATGAATTAAAATTGCTAAAAGTGAAGTTGGTCATGGTCTCATGTACAAAGGTTAACAACGAAATTTGTTTTAATTGATAGGATAACGATTAAAAAATATATCAGAGGTTGTATTAAGGATATGTTAAAAAAAGGGCATCCCGACGAACTAAGCTTCCGCTATGTGCAAGGTGGGGGAAGGACAGAACCACAAAGGTCTATTGTATGCAGTGTTAGCCTGCATTTCTGCAAGAGGTTGTTTCCACGGCTTGAACCTGTGACTTTCTTGTCACATGGCAGCAACTTTACCAGTATTAAGGATATGTATTAATGCTAATATTTGTTTAATTTAATTTCAAATTTGTAGCTCAATCGAATTTTTAGAATATTTATACATAAATTTATTACTATAAATATATAATATGCGAATATTGATATGGGATACACGTGCAACGCACGTGCCCAGATACTAGTATTGATAAAAAGGGAGAAACTCCAGAATTTTCAGCTTCATATTTCATGGTCTAGTACTTTCTTGGCTCAACCATGGTATGTGCCTTTTGGTTGCTATCGTATTAATTTTTCTCTCTAAATAAATACATATTATGTCAAACTTAAGATGAATAGTTGAGGATATTACTAGAATTAAAGTTGTCCTGCGTGCTTTGACTTTTTGTTTCCTTGTAATGCAATTCTGCATGATTAATTTGCCTATCTAGTTGTAAAATTTCTCCTTTGAGTTGCTTAGAATTCTTTTTAACCAAGAACAAATGCTTCTACAAAATGGGTTTGAATTGAGTTCTCTATTGGCTTTTGTTGCTAAATCATGTAGAATATCTTTGTCTCAGTCAAGTTTTATGTCTGGTTCTTGAATTGTTTGAAAAATAGGGTAGTAGACTAACACTATCTCTCCAATCAAAATCTCTCATAACTCACTGACTCTTTACATTTAATCGAGATTTTACGAGATAAGCAATAATTATGAATATCGTAGCTTGCTTTAAGCGCGATTAATTTTAAATCATCACGGCTATGGGTACGGTTCCCGTGGTATAGTCATTGTCACGACCCAAACTGGAGGGCCATGAGTAGCACCCGACCATACTTACCGAGCACCAACGTACATTTTATCTAACTTTTTTTATTATCTTTTAGGGTTGACGAGATCAATATAAATGGTAGACATGGATCATGGACAACCAACAATAAAATATGATGGCATGAACATACATAGCAGGGGATGACCAGACAATCAAGAAATTACATATAAGGTACGAGTTACCACGCTACTATGAAAGACTATACAACAAAAACCAGTCGACAAGGCATACCAAACTATACATGAGTCGACATTTGTCTATGAGCCTCTATAGGAACATAAGTACTGCAACATAGCCGGAACAGTGCCCCGACATACCCATAATATCTACAACAAAAATGCATACCAAGAGACAAGTCCGAAGAAGGGATCTCACCAATCAC